TACGAAGGGGTATATAAATCTAAGAGCTATTGCTACAGGAGCCCCTGCTTTCTGGTGGTTTGCTGCCATTTTCAGTTGGGGCAGGGGGCTTTCAAGAACACCCCAATTCTTTCTTCCCACACCTGTTTTCTATGGATCACCTCCCCCCCTTTTGAAGGTTACTCATAAAGAGCCTTGCTGGATTTGGGGGCTCCCCTGCAGTGGAACCCTCTGTGTGAGCCTTGAAACTGCCTGGGGGGAGCCTGTTTGCGTTTAAATGCCTTGACTGCTGATCCAGTGGAGACCTGGAGGTTACAGTTGATTTCCTGATTGAGGTTGACAAGCTGGTCCAGTTGATTGAATGCCCGATCTTTACCTGTGAGTTTTCTTCCTCTCTGATCCTTTTTGCAATGTGTTGTGGCAGCCTCTGTGTCTTCATGTACTTATGTATTTATTAACTTATATAGGCACCTGTCTTGAACCAGCACTGGGCAATCCAAAAGCAACAGATTAAAAATCTCTGTGCACAACAGAAAATGTTAAAACTACAAGTATTAAAACCAAATCAAAGCCAGGCACCATCGGTAAACTTTCACTTGCAGCCCACAGCAAATTCACCTCATCACTCTCACCCTAAACCGGCGTGGGGGGAAAGTCTTCCACAGGGCTTCCTGGTCACCAGAACATGGCAGCTTTTAAGAGAGGGGACTAGGAGCCTATCTGATCTGGTGGGGCAGGCAGATGTCCATAGAGAGGGGCAGCCCCACAGATAACCTGGTTCTGTGTCATGTGAGGCTTTGAAGAGAATAAGTGGCCTCTCAGATGCCAACCGAAAGAAACTGGGACAGCCTGAACTATGCACGCTGCCCAATTCTGGACCAATTGTAGTTTCTGAGTAGTCATCAAGGGCAGCCCTATCGAGAGTGCATTGCAGTAATCCAAACTGGAAGTGACTCCCGGTCCAGGAAAAGGTTTCCACAGGAGTTGTGAGTGTGTGACTCAGTCTGGGGAAACTGGATTGAAGTGCAAACAGTTGCCAAGCATGATCATGTCCTGTGACAGCAGGGCTGTGGTGGTTGTGCAACATTTTGTGAGGGCTAAAATGTGAGGGCTAAAAATGCTTTTTCGGCTATAAAGCACCCATTCTGTGGCTGTCGTAACTCCAATTTGTCATTAGCGCACTCCTGCACCTGGTCTAGAAGGGGGTTCCTTAGGAGCTCCGTCCTGGCTCTGCCCCCCCTCCCCCCAAGTCTTCTCGTCCTGCTGGCTCTCCTACCCAAATGCTCTCCTTCCCTGGATCCCTCCCTTCTGCTTCCTGGGCTTTGACCCATGGTGGGCTGATGCCCTCCTGCGCTTTGGACTCTGCCAGGCCTTGGGCTCAAGCAGCCTTTTTTTTAGTAGCCCACCTACCAGATGGCTCCTTGTCACTGGATTCCAGGTTTCAGCAGCAGCTCCGACCTCATGGCTGCAGCCTTTGGCCTGGCCACATGGGTCACGGCAGCCCTGGCTTTCTTCCAGATCTCCGCCTGCAGCTGCTGGATGTGAAAAGCAACCCGTATCTCCTCAAGGCTCTCTACGGGCTGCTGATGCTCCTGCCCCAGAGCAACGCTTTCCAGCTCCTTTCCCACCGGCTGCAGTGCGTCCCCAACCCGGAACTCATGCAAACAGTGTAAGTTGCACCTGGGCCAAATCTGGGATGCCCTGACCAAAGCCCTCCCCTCCCCACTCTCCAAAGGGGCAGCAGGGGCTGAATGGGGAGCCCTCCCGAGGGAGGAGGTGGCCTGTTCCCCGCCTTGGAAGGCCTGGCTACCTCCAGCCACCTGCTCTCTTCCAAGACTGCACCATCTTTAGCCTTTGGGGTGCTTTCTGGACAAACGGAGCCGTGCCCAAAGTAACCACGCTCTTATTCAGTGCAGGCAAAGCGGCTGAAGTGCCTCCTCAGCACCTCTAAGGGCTTCCCCACCTGCCCTGTGACCCTGCAGCCTTTGCAGAGGGCATGGCCCCCACCCCCTTGAAGGGCCCTCGGGCATCTTCCAAGCAAAGGCCCCACCAGGCCCTTCTTGGAGTGCCTCAGCTGCCTTTTGGACTCCCAGGGTGGGGCTGGCAGGCAGCTGGGTGCAAAAGGGAGCAGGAGGGTCCTGGGAGACGGCATCTCAGCTCTCGCCCAGCTGGTCCCAGCTCCGTCTATCTCCATGTACTATATTATATAATATATGGAGTTATCTCTGGTAACTCCAGAGAGCCGAAGCCTTTGGCACCCAAGGTGGAAAATTCCCCTTGGACTGTCGTTATGGAAACTGGCCCCAGGGGAGCAGCTGCCATCCCCGCAGGGGGCAGAGGCTCCTTGCCCAGCCTCCCTCCCCTCCTGGCCCTTCCCAGGGAAGCTTGGAAGAAGCCAGGCTGGCCTTGGGCTCCCTCCCGGAAGGCTGTGCTGGGAAATGCTCTTGGGGCAGGGAGGCGAGGTCCTTTTCTTCCCGAGCGGGATGGATGGGGCTCCTTGACTGCATTGAGGGCTCCAAGGCTTGGAGGGGAGTCTCCCTGCTCCCCTCCCCCAGCAGCGTCACAACCCCTTGAAGGCTTCTCTTCTGTGGGGCCGGACTCTCTTCCTTGCTGCCTGGGCCTTGGAGTGCCTGGAAACCTGGGATTCCCACTCACTACCGGCTGTTCTTTCCCCTTTGGGGCAGGGTTCCCTCCTCCCACCCACCATTTCTCCGGGGAGTGCAGCATGTCAGCCCCACTGGAAGAGGATTTGGGGCCTTCCAGAATGGCCATCTGTCCTAATAGTGTGAGGGACAGAGGGTGATCTAGTCCAGCCCTCACAGGGCACATTGCAGCCACCCTGTCCCTAATGGGCCAGAAGCAGAGGAGCCACATTTGGGGTGGGGGGGGGGGGGGGGCTTCGGCTCCAGGGGGGGGGAGGGGGGTGCCGGGGGGGGGGGGGGGGGGGGGGGGGGCAGCAAAGAGCATCTCCTCTTTGTGGAGTGGAGGGGCCATTGGTCAGCCCAGCCTCTCTTTTAAAACCGCATTATGGGGGTTTCTGTCAGCCCCGTTTCCTTAGGGCTGTCAGGCAGGCCCAGCATCTTGAAAACCAGGAGAAAATTTGCTTGAGCCTTGTGGAAAACCAAAAGAAATAGTCCCACCCCCAAACGGAGACTGCTCACTGGCATCCTGAATGAGGGTCCCAAGGGGGAAGAGCTGCGCCAGGGTAACCCCCCTTTGCAGTGGGGCTGGGCTGCCTCTGTATGCAAATCCTACTCTGGGCTCCTCATGAGGAAGGGGGCCCGGAGACCCCACCATCCCTGCCCCTTCCAGCCACCCTCAGAGGTGGGGCCTGGGGCCTTCTGGCTGGAAGGGAGCCCCAACCTCCTGTTCTGCGGCCCTGCTTGGCTTCGGTCCTCCCTGGGCTTGGGCGGGGGGGGGGGGGGGGGGGGGGGGGGGG